TGGCACCACACCCTAAGCCAGTCGTTCACCTCGGAGGCCCTCCTGTCCCTTCCTGACCCAAATCCCCAGACAGGTAAGATTGACAAGAAGGCCACTTGGGCCTTCAGCTCCCTGAGTTTCTTCCCCAAGGCCTCAAAGTCCCTGGTGGTCCCAACCACACCCTGCCTGGCCACATCGTTTGTGCCCACATGGATCACCAGGAGCGGCTGGAGACCCCCGGAGTGAACAAGACGCTCCACTCTGTCCTTCACATGCCGGATGCGTGCGCCCAGCAGGCAGCAAACCTCCCTTGTCTCCCGGTTGGGGCGGCCCTCAGCAGGGATTCCCCAACAACAATCACCCGCCACCGTACCTTCCCGGTGCTGGTGGGCGGCCGTGGCCTGGCCCTCGCCTCTCCTGCAGTGGCCCCCTTGCCGCCTGACGTCTCAGGCTGGGGGTCCTGCTGGTCCCCCAAGGCCTCATCAGCCCCAGCCTCCCCAAGTGGAGAGAACCTGTTTCCCAGCTCCAGATTGGTGCCAGGAGAAGGAGGAGGCCGTGCTGGCCTCCTCCTCCTGTGGGTGACATGCCTCCATGTCTCCCCGGCTGCTCCTCCCGTGGTCTCTCCCTCAACCCTCTGTCCAGAGGGGGCTGCTCCGGGGGGGGGGGCTGGAGAGCTCTCTCGGCCCTCAGGCACCTCACCTCCTCTTCTAGCAGGGTCACCAGCTTGCACCGAGGGCAAGTGTATCCCTGCCTCTCCTGAGGGAGAAGGGCGAACATGTTGCAGCTGTCGCAGCAAACAGCAACCCCCGTGACTCCCGCCAAGGCCATCTCCTGGTCTGCCATCGGTATCCCTTCCGAGACCTTACCTTGGTCCCCTGCCTTGTTTGTGCTGCAGTTTCTCTCACTCGCCCAGTTCTCCCAGATGAAAACCCACTCGCACACACACACAAGGATAAAATAAATTTAAAATGGAAGAAAAACATAGCACAGCACAAACAAAACAAACAAACAATCAAACCTCTGTGTCTCAGGGAAGGGAGTCTCCGAACAGCCCGGGCCGCAGCCAAGGGACGCAGACGAGGGACGACGCCCCACCCCTCTGCTTCCTCCTGGCCGCTCTAGCCTCTCTGGCCCCGCCCCCTTCCTCTCTGCTGCTCCTGGCCCTCTGCTCCGCTGCCCAGCTCCTACCTTGCCTTCGCCAGTCCTCTGGCCACTCAGCGCCCTCTCCCAGCCTGTGCCTCTGCTGCTCTGCCAAGAGGCCAGAGTCATTTTGGCCTACAACTCCTATCAGCCCTCATCACTAGCTGTGCAGGCTGAGACCAAAACATCTGGCAGGCCACAATTTGCTCACTTCTCCTTAAAGCCCTAAATATTTGGGACTATGTTATTTAGACCATTTTCATATCCACCTGCCTGCATTTGAGATAAGTGGCTGCAATCCTATTCATGTGCCAGCGTTTATGTACAATGAGACTGGAAAGCACGGAAGAGTAGGAATAGGCCTGTGAATTTATGACCACCTGGAGTCATTCCTGCAGGATCCTTGCACCCTTTATCTTCAGTGGCTTCTCTTAGGGGTTTAACTGAGCAGTTTAGTGGAATTTGTTTTAGGTTGTTATTAATCTTCATGGGTTTTTGAGCATGGTTTTTAAAAGATATTGCTAGTTGTCCATTCTGATTTTAACTGGTTTTTTGTTTATTTTTTGTTTTGGTGCATTGCTATTGTTTTTGAAAGCCATTCTGAGAAGAGTTTTACCTTTAAAAATGATGTATAAAGAAAAGAAAAACTAAATTGGCTCATATTCTGGATGAATCAAATTTTAGGATTCTGTTATTATGTCTCCATTAAATATTACCTTCCCCATTTTATTTAATCTTGTTTTATGCCCATCATGTTATCATTTATGGTCAAGGATTTATTGGTGCTGAGTGTAGACAATCCTAATAGAATAAAAATATTTGTTGTTTTAATGTGTAATTTGTGGCTTTTTAATAGTGTGTAAATTGTGCCACCTGAGATAATGGCCTTATCCTGGTTAATTGTCTCATCAGCACATTGCAGCTTTCTCTCACCTCCTGCATAGGCCTGGCCTTTCCTTATCTCACCAGGTTCCCTGCAGTGGGAGAGTCCACACTCTACCCAAGTCCATTTTGTCACTGATCCTTGTCTTAAATTAGCTGATCATAGTAAAGCAAATTTCTAGTTCATGTTGCTTCAATTAAATTACAACAAAATTAATTTGAAAACCCTTAAAAACCAATTAACCTTTATTTCAACTCTTTCTTATTCCTAGAGACAGCAGAAAATCTACACAAAGATCTTTCTTGTGGCAAAACATTATAGGCTGATTTAAACATACCAAAAATAAGGTCTTTTCTATCCTATGTACTCTTTCTGTGACTTTATTTCATTAAAATGCATATTGTTTTTATATACATCTTGATTATACAAAGTTCATTTGCAATTAGATGCTAATTATCCTACTTGTATAGCATTAACTAGGGTTGTTTTTACACAAGGCATTTACAGCATGAAGTATTTGAACCTCAAGTCATAAAGGAGTATGTTGCAGCAGATTTCCTTGCGATACTACTTGTGTTCTTCAGGAATTATCTGTCTAACACAAATGAAGGAAATCATGTGGCTGATCCATAAGCAGCTATCAGAGAGAATCCAGGAGTTAAGATGAGCAGTCAGGGGGCAGAGTTGAGGAACACACCAAACTTACAAGAGCCAAGGAGGGGACAGGAGTCAGAACCAGCCAGATCATTATTCCTTGGACAGGGTGCGACAACCAACAGGCAACTTGGATAGAGTTTTCTGTCTAAGAATGCTCAAAGGCCAACTGCCTAGTGCATGCACATGGGGCCAGTCCATAAGAACATAAGAGACCTGCTGGATCTGACCTATCTAGTCCATCATTCTGTGCACACAGCAGCCAACCAGATGCCTATGGAAAGCCTACTGGAAGGACACAAGGGCAACCACAACTCCTATTTGTGCTTTCTGCTGCCAGTATTCAGAGCATCCTGCCTCTGATAATGGAGGTAAGACCTCCTTTCAAGACTAAAGAAGCCTGAAAATGCTGCCCTGCCCTGGAAGATGCTCTAAACTGCAGCGCTGGTGGGTTAACATATGGGAGCAGCTGCACAAAAAGCTGAGGGCTCATCTATCTAATCCTAGTAGTTGCCGATTCTGTACTTCATAAAGCAAACAAATTTACATGGAAGAAAAATGGAGTGATCATAACTGTTCAATGCACTCATCTCAATGTTTCAAAGCATATACCATATTGCTATAATCAGGGCTTTTTTTGTCATAGAACGCACTGGAACAGCGTTCTGGCACCTTTTTTTCCAACGGATTTTACGAAGTGATTTTGAATCGCCTGTTGGGCGTAGCAGGTCAGCGGCAAAAGTCATTAACATAGTGCCTGCGGGCTGCTTGTGTGTCCACGCTGATAGTGAGGGCGCTGCTTGGCTTGGGACGCTGCTTGGCTTGGGATCGGTCGTGTGGTCGCGCGCTGAGTGCTTACTGCCAGCAGCAACCATTATGTTTATGTGTGTGGAGAGTGACTGACTACGTGCAAAAGGTAAATAAGTTTACTATGAACATTTGCCTTAAATACAATAAATTAAATTTATGTTAAGAACTGATTTTTTTTTAATAAAAGATTAACAAGACGTGAGTTCTGGCACCTTTTTTTTTTTAACAAAAAAAGCACTGGCGATAATGCTACACCAAACACTATCTGCTGTAGTGTGATGAGGTCTCAGGCAGTGGTTTGCTATGGTACCATCATATCTCAGGGTAGCACGGTAGCAAGAAGAAGGCTTTTTGTGACTGGCTAAGAAAGAGAAGGAAGGGGCAGAGGGACCTGGGCAAAGAATAGTGAAAGAAGCAAGAGCTTTGGAGAAGAGAGTATAATGGGAGTCTAAGAGGAAGAGTGGTGAAGGTGAGGGTGAGAGAGAGAGAAGACCTAGATACTATTAAACTGGCTAGGTATTACTACATGACATACCACAAAACTCATGTGTGGTGGAGAGAAAATTAATTCAGATCCTAAAGCCAGAAAGAAATAGTATGTATGGTCAAGGACTGAAGATACAGCTAAATCAAAATAATGAACAAAATATTTGACTTCCAGTCTGCAGTATGTTTTTGTTTTAATCTATGTAAAGCCGTTGAGCGAGATTGTGGACTTTAATCTGAACTAGTGAGTTAATATATGCAATGTACTTAATTAATATGAAGATATAATTTTCCATAATATACACATCTCATTACCAGTTTCTGCATTTCATGATCCATTTCTGACATTGCTACTTGAATTTATACCTTTTTCACACACATGCAATATCAAATGTATTCAAATGAACATATTTTAGCAACATTATTGCTTTGCAGAATTAGAAATAATTTATTGTTTAAATCTTTCCTTCAAAACCAGCAGCAAAATAATTTATTGTTTAAATCTTTCCTTCAAAACCAGCAGCAACATTTGCTATATAAAACAAAATGTATAACATTTTGAACTGGAGAAAATTAGCTCCACCTGGTGGGTTTTTTTTATTTTTATCACTCAGTGCTAGCTCAACAGTTTAGATCAGGGTGGGCAGACAGTAAATATGGATCTCTGGCTGATCTGCAATAGAATGGCAAGAAATTTCAACTCACAGCTGTTTAACAGTAGCAACAACCAAATGATTTATCCCACCTAAATTAGGCCAAGGAAATGAAGAAAGCTTGGGGAAATCAGGAGTGGACTTTTGTATAGAAGGCTTCTGAGCTAAGTTCACCTGTTGCTGAGAACACATTCCCAGGTTCAAGAACGTACTCAAAGGCACCCTGGTTCCTAATTCTAGGTGTATATATTTTGCATTGGCCATTGCTTGATGGCTCTTGGAGTTCTAGTAGAAGCAAACAAAATAGTCCAAACATCTCTGAAGTCTGCCTGCCGATGGGTTAAATTACTATTTTGTGCACAACTGCAGGATCATTTGAAATTGAATAGGAATTTAATTTTAATTAAATTAAATTAATTTCAATTAATTTTAATAAGTATCCATAAGCTGTGCTGAATGTGCAATACCTTAAGAGAACGAAGTCATCACAGCTAATCTGTATTATATTTTTGTCAGTGCAAATTATACAGACTAAAATCTCAGCATGGTGTTTACATTACTAGTAATAATAGATATGTATTCTAGATCAATTTCCATTCCCTGATTCCGCACACATGAAAGCTAACTCAGTAGGAACACTGCAGCATCTTATATCTCCACTTTTAGCTATTCACTGTCTGTGAACGAAAGCACTGAACGGAAAGCAAAGTCAGAGGGCTGCTAGCCCTACCAACCAAAAGACAATGATCTTGTTTGGATGTAACAGCTGCCTCCCTCAGCAAATCATGGATTAATCAACTCATTAACTGTGGAGATGAGCTGCACATGGTAGGCATGGTAGACGGAGCTGGGGGTGGGGGTCAGACTAGATGGCCTGGGAAACCCCTTCTGACTCGCTTTCTTTCTTTATTTCAATGTTTCTTGTTTCCATTAATAGCCTTTGAATGCACAAGAAAATGTATTGCGTTGCTTTGCTTTGCTTTGCTTTCAGTGGTGTCACAGAAGCAGCCTTGAAATGCAGCATCTCAGGGTTGTTCATAGAAACAGAAAGTGACTTGGACATGACTCAGATGAAGTGTACATCTCCACAATTTGCAGGTTAACTGCAGTTCACAGCTGGAGGTTCTTTCGGTGTAACTCACTTCTGGATTGCATATAAATGCATATCAAATCACATTCTCTCTCATGTTTAGGTTTGTCTTCTACATTTTTCATGCATTTATACCTATTCAAGCTTCCCGTGCTCTTTTTTCCCCTCCTTCATTTTAAACTAGAAAAAGGTCCCCCAATCTCTCCCTCCTCCCCCCCAGTGTGTGTGTGTGTGCCCATACACGTGCTTGTGAGTTTTCCTCTTTTTATGTATAGCGTCATTAGCTTATCATAAAATATGGCTGTTTTAAATGAATTTACTGCTGGTATGCAATTTACTTATTTCACACACTTATGAAGACCATGTAACACTCAGAGTTGTCAAGCAGAGAAATATGATTTCACCCCATAGTTAAGATAAATTATGGAATTAAATGTATTTATTTTTTCTCAACATGCTCAGAACACATACTTAATTTTTAGCTTTTTGTTTCAAATAATAAGCAATAGGATCAATATGGAAAGGGAAGTTCAACTATATACCATGAAGTAAGGTTGGGCTCACTCCCTCGCCACTACCCTTCACGTAGAAGGCACTACATGCTTAAATCAAGGAGGCCTTGGCCTGTAAGTGGAACTGTGGGTCAGGCGCATTTTTATTCCATAAGAGGTTTTTTAATTATATTGTAATGTGCTTCATTTTTAATCTATTTTAAATAATTTTTGAAGGCTGACTTAAGTGCCCTTTTTTGAGGAAATGGCAGGGTATAAATCAAATAATTTAATCAAATCCTGTACATATTTAGACAGAACACCAGACAATGCTAGGAGTTGTAGGACTAGTTTGTTATCTGAGCATACCTGTAAATACATCTTAATCATATAACTTATATGCTAAGTTGTTTTCCATATGCTGACTTCATACATCATACTGCCAATATGAGATGTTAACCCTGACTGCATGGAAACATGGATCCTCATTTTGCATCAGCTGTAAAGTTCAACATGGGGTACCAAATATATGTCAAAATTAATAGCACAAAGGTGTTGGATAGTCCGACGCTCATAGAATCATAGAATAGTACAGTTAGATGGGGCCATGAAGGCCATTGGGTCCAACCCCCTGCTGTTGCAGGACACCCATCTAACTTAAAAAGAGTCAGATTATAAGTTGCTTGATGGCACTTTCTTCTTAAAAACGTGGAAGAGTTACTCAGTGGGCTCTAGGAAATCATTCCACATTATTAGGAATGACTGAAGATCAGTGTTCTATGCAGTAATACACATGAACATAAATGCTCTCATGGATCAGGCCAGAGTGCTACTGAGTCCAGGTTGGCTTCCTGCATCCCCATGGTGGCCAGGTTGATCCTGATGGGAAAGCCATATGCAAGACAATAGCTCATTCCCACTGTTCTTCCCCAGCAATCAGCACTCAGAGGCATCCATGTCCCTGCCACACCGAGAAGCTGGCATCCACGTGAACAGATTGTCAGAAGTGGACATCAAGAACATTATGGTGCCAGGCAGGGGTGGAGAAGAGAAAGTGAGCCAACATTGTTAGGGCTCCCTGTAGTGTAGCATTTCCCAACCTGGTCCTCTCAGGATCTTTTGGATTACAACTCCCTGCCTTCCTGACCATTGGCTATGCTGGCTGATGAGTCTCGAAGTGGAAGCCCCAACTATCTAGAGGGCACCAGGTTGAGGAAGCTTTTCAAGTGGGCAGGAAATGATGCTACTTGGCAGAGGAAGATCATGTGAGTCACTGATGATAATGGCCAGTTCTATATCTACTTCATATTGTTACAGAACTTTCATACAAAAGGCAATTATCCTAGAATCATTTTGGGCAGTGTATTTTAGGTAGAGCAAATGTGGCTGTGATATTTAACACGTATTTATATTTAATGGAATGCACTCCCTGAAGAGGTGCGCCTGGCGCAGAGTTTATATTCTTTTCAGTGCCAGGTTAAAACCTTTTTATTTAATTGCTATTTTAAAAATTAATATTTTATTGTTAACAGCCGCTTTTTGTTTTTTGTTTTTATATAATTTTATGGAATTTGTTATTGTTTTATTGTTTTAATTGTACATTTGTGAGCCGTCCTGAGATGCCGAGGCATGTGGTGCCAGGAAATAAAAGTTTTAAATAAATATTTAAATTTGATATTTATATTTATAGTTGTATAGTTATACAACTATAATCTGGTTGTATCCAGATTTAGTCATAGCTAGATTAAACCCACTGAAGTCAATGGGACTAAAGGCTGTCATTGCTAAATTACATTCCATTGATTGCAATGGATACATAAATATGCCTAAATTTGGTTCCAACCAGGTTAGTATAAAGCAATAGTAAGCCATCTGAGTTAACCATTTATTAATCAAGGACTGAACTTTCCAAAACATTGCCCAATCTATTGGTTCCCCACTGAGTGCACCTGACTTACAAACAGCTGATATTTCTCTGAATCCACTGGCCTTCCTGCCTCCATGCAAGCTGTCAGCCAAGCAATGTCCAGGATCCTGAATCTCGAACCATCCTCCACCTGGTGTATCTGCAGCCATCTCATGATTTCAGTGAAAGAATTATTCTCAGCCACAATGTGGGTGACAGAATCACTAGAGAAACAAACACAAAGACAAGAGTTTATTTCCCTCCTGAGTTTGTCATGGCAGACTGGAAATTGCCATACGCACTGTGGAAGTTGAAGGTGATTTGATATCCCTGTGCTTCAAAGGCGTTTCCCTATTGAATTTACAGCATTCTCTGACACTCGGGCTCAGTGTCAATTAATATCCTTGAGACATGTATTCTTATACACCGCTGGCCTGAAGCGTGGAAAGCAGTTGGCTTGCCCACATGCTATTGTAATGAAGAGCCTCTTTAATATTACCTGACAGCCTTGGAAAGAAAAAGTATGCATGTTCAATGACTGAGAACTTCCTAATACTCAGGAATTTATTGAATTAAACTTGTTAAAGCAATGCCACCACTAATATTGTCCAGTAAAACTTCTGTTCTCAAGAGTCAGTTTTTTGCATACAGAAAATGGGGAAAAGGTACGTGAAATAAACTCTTTAAATTAGGCATTGTGTTGAACAACTGCAACCTTCATTTTCAATATACCAGACCGCTGCAAGGTTGATATTCAGGTTTAGGCGATTTGGCTACTATAAAAATTAGTGTAAAAAAATAAAGTCAACTGTGGGCTACTCAAGACACATCCCAGAGCTGTTGTTAAATTACTGTTCAAATGGGATAGCACATTATAATAGATACTTGCTTGGCATATGAACAGTCATGGCTTTTTTTGTCATAGAACACATCAGAACGGCATTCCAGCACCTTTTTTTCAATGGATTTTACAAAGTGATGTTGGCGTAGCAGATTAGCAGCAAACATCATTAACATAGTGCCTGCAGGCTGCTATTGTGTCTTCGATCTGCTATCTGATAGTGAGAGATAGCTGCTTGGGACGCTGCTCTGCTGCTCGGCTTGGGATTGGTGTGTGTGCTAACTGCCGGCGGCAGTTCTGGAACCACTGTGAACAGTACATAATAAAATAGACTATTAACCCCCAAAACACAACCTGTATACAAGATCATCCTTAAGTGTAGTGACATAAGCTGTAACTTGCCACTACAGCTAGACTATCTGCCATGCCTAGTAAATGCTGGGATGTGTTGCAGGGTGGAGCGGCAGCCATTGCTGTTGTATCAGGCAGCTTATTACAATTTGAAAACAAAAAATTTAACAGAATGCCACACAGCCAAGATGGATGAAGTTAACCATTTCCTTAAAATACTAGTGACCGAGTTGGCACAAATAGATTTTGCAGACTGCCCTTGCTGGAGAAATGTCCCCTTCACAGAATAAATTAATCCTTAATGTACTGAAGGTAAATTATCATGGGTTTATATAGCGAATCTGCTATGTTGCATATCAATCCCACCAGTGGATTACCAAAATATTAAACTTGGAATACTAGCTTTGAAAATCTACTAGTCTACCAGCATATCACAGAAGGGTGCTGCAGACAATGGAAGGGTTAGGTTCCCTTTAATTAAACCACTGTGCTCTGCCTTGTTTTCTTTTTAAAAAAAATCAGTTAGAGATGTTTAACTTCTGCTTCCTGTGGTTTATATTCCTTTATATAAAATGTGCATATTTAATGTATTTGTATAATGCTGAAGATCTGGGAACTTTGCCATTTCTGTACTCACAATAGCAGTTTAGCCAACATGCCCCCAGTTTCCTGTGATAGTTCTACAGCTGCATCATATTCTTGGCAGCAAATGTAAGAAATGAAGAATTTCCACAGATATTGTTGACAGTTATTTTAAAAATCGACAGTTAAATGGTCCTGGTTGAAGACGATTCAAAATAGATGCCAGAAAAGTAAGGTGAATATATGAAACATATTGACAAGATAGCTTTTCTCCTTAATTACCCTGCTCCAAACTAGCATACACCATCATGGACACATACACAGAAACTATAGATTAATATATATCAGAGGGTTCCTATCTACTAAGCTCCATTGGAGTTACTTGGACATGTTATAGTGTGGAAAACAAAATGTACAAAGGGTGTGTTTAAATAATTACATACCCAAATCACTGAGCTAAATGGCAGACAACTGCAATATGGATGAAAAGGAATTATCTTACATGAGATTTGCTTCATTTAATGCTAGCAAAATATCCATGAGAAGTATGAAAGAAGTCTGTGGAATAAAATATTCTATATTAGGAAGACTTCTGCACAAACTGTCCACTACCTTTGGTGATCTGCATATCTGTAGTAGGAACCAAGTTGGAACTGGGGCTGAGTTAGTTTGTTGAGCCAGTTCAGTATTTACACTGGGTGGAAGCAGGTCCCCAGGGTTCCAGTAGGAGGCCTTTACAGGTTCTACCCTTGGAGATGCCCAAGAGTAGACCTGGGACCTTCTGCATGCAAAACTAAACTTTGATTACTGAGTTTCAGACCCTCCAGTTACTTTGACCCAATGAATTTAGTGGGAGCCATCAAGAAACATGTCAGTCCCCACCATCACCTTTTGGGCCAGTGGGCACATTTGGACTTTTGAGATAGAATTCTGTGGGCATTTTCACAAAATGGCTGCCATGGAAGGAGCTTGCTCATTCACAAAATGGTTACCAGGGCAGGCATGTCAAATCCCCTAAGACTTATTTCCCAGAAGACAAACTGGTGAGAGAAAAGTAACCTGTCCAAGTGTGAAGCAGAATGTGGCCGGAACTCCAAAATACAAAAACATTGTTTTGAACCAAGATAAAGAGGATAGTGGAGGATGGCTGCACTGTCGAGGGTAATTATGCTACCCCCCCCCCCAGCATGCTACCAGCACATGTTGTGAGAAAGAAAAGATAACATTGTGCAAAAAGTGCCTCAGATTCTTGTGACCACCAGTCCAATAGCTAGGCACATAAACAGGGCCTCTGAAGTTAATCTCAGACCCAAGGAAGTTCATACAAATGAAGATGCTCCTTCAAATAAAACTTTTGAAGAAACTTTTTGGCAATGGAAAATGTCCAATATCTCATGCACCTCTCCATAAGTAACAGGAAAGGTGTGCAAGGGCATTTAATCACAAGGAGAGGTCCAGTCTTAAAAGAGATTTGCTTAGTGGCTCCCAGATTTTGTATCAAACTTAGGAACAGATTTAATTTTCTCTGACAGGTTCAACAGTGCACATTATGAAAGCTCCTCATAGAAGCTTTCCTGAAATAGGGTAACATGCAACCACATTGGTATATTAAGATGACAGAGTGTTTTTTTCAACACATTTTAATAAGACTCTCCAAATTAAGAAGGCTTGTTTGCAGGAACAATATATTATGCACTGCTCTATATTTTCCTCCAACAGACATTATCTTGCTTTTAAAGCATAAGTGGGCATACTAAAGTTTTTGTGGATACAAGGAACATTCTAGTCCTCTTCCACTGTTTCCTTTAACCAAACCAGGCATGACACTATTTACGTAATTAGCAACAGCTAATGGCTGGTGCTGGGGGTGGAGGGGGTAAAGGTAAATAACAGGTCAAACTTGTATAGTGGGGGCCGAATACAGGTCAAAAGGCCTCCACCCTGACACTGCTCAGGCCTCTCACATGTCCTATTTGGGATTGATATGGATGGCACTTTGATCCCAATGCAAGTAGCGGGTTAAGAACACAAGAAAAGTCATGCTGAATCAGACTAAAGGCCTATCTAGCACTCTTCTGACACTGGCCATGAAAAATGCCCATATGAAACGCATAAGCAATGGCACCAAAGGGTTGGACTACAAAATATTGGCCCCAGCCTCCATGGTCCAAGAGGGCCCTTCAAATGACTCCAGAAACAAGCAGCAGGACCAAGTCTGATGTCCTGCTTTGGCCAGCCAAGGCTGCTGCCACATGCCTTTTGAATCTCAGTGTTTTCCCAAATGTGAGAATGGCAGCAAACTAACTCATCAGTTTACTACCTTTAGGGGTATGTAGCCAATGGGGCCAATGGAGTATTGAAAGGCCAGTCCTGCATAGCACAAATAGCAGTTCACAGCAAAACAGCCAGTGTGCTGGGCCCACTGCGAAGGAATCTTGTCATTTCTAGCAGCACCGCTTCCAACAAGAAGGACGTAAGGGATATAGCATCATTCCACCCATATCCCCAAATAACTGGCACTGAGAAATACAGACATTCCAATATAGAATGTAATGTATAGCCATCATGGCCAGTAGCCATTGATAGCTTTATCCTCTGAAAGTACTGTAGTTTAAGAAGGATATTGAGAAAGCAGCAGGTCCAGAGGACAAGGTATGAAAAAGACTGACAAGGAGACCAGATCCTATGAGGAAAGGTTGAGTCGAGTGCATATAGTCTGGAATAGTGACAATGAAGAATAGAATAGCCATATTTGGAATAGCTATCACAGAGGACGGCTCTTCCATTGCTCCAGGTGCTAGACCCAAAACAATAGGTTGAAATTACAAGACAAGGGATTTTGCATAAGTGTTAGAACAACCTTCCTAATGGCACAAAGAGTTCAACAGTAGAAGAGATGGTCTCAAAGGATGGTGGGCTTTACTTGACTAGACATACTGCATTTCTGGTCATGTATTCACCAAGAGCGTAGTGGAACTTGGGAGGTCTGGGTTCTCTAGTCTACACTCAGCTGTGAAGCTAGGCTTCTCTACACTCAGCTAGGTGACTTTGGCCCAGTCACTGAATCTCAGCCCAACAAACTGCCTTGTGAGGATAAAAATGGAAAGGAGGACACTCTTGTAAGCTGCCTTGGGTCTCACAAGTGGGTTGCATTTCTAGGATACCTATGCTTCCTTGGGTTACTTGCACATCTAATGTAAGGATGAAGATGAAGGTGTTATGAGGTCATGGACAGATGCAGTCATAGATAGACTGGGTTCCTCTGTGGTCCTTCCATCTTTTTGATTCTTTGGTGCTGGAGATGTAACCTAAAACAATTAAACTCCTCCCCACATTTGGATTCCAATCTGGATTGATTTCCCCTGTCATTATTATTTAGGCTGCACCAAGGAAAATGAGCATGAGAACAGGATCTTTCTACCAGTCTTACCAAAAGACTCATTTTTCCCCTTTCTCTCTCCTTTCATTTTTGCTTATATGCCTTTTTTATTATTATTTGTAAATCTGCAGGCAGGGACTTTTTTGTTTTACTGAATATATGAAAGCTGTTCTGGGAGACTGTTTGTCTGAGAAGCTGGATTATTAAACAAACAAACAAGCAAGCAAGCAAACCAACAAAAAAGTTAATAGTTAATTAAAAATAACTATTTGTGAAATTGTGTGAAAGGTATCACATCACACTGAGTTCTTTTTTGGGCAGCTCCATCCATGCATCCCTTTGCACTTCTCCACTGAAGTAATTAGGACAATTCACTCACAAAGGACTTAACTTTAGAGTATCTGTGGAGTTTTGAACTGAAGCATTGAAACCAGGGATACTGCAAAATTCATAGAAATGCCATTACACTGAAAACTAGAAACCCATTTGATTCTCCAAAGAGATCTGTAACATGAGGCACTGCGGTTCTTTGCAGCAGACAAGAATAGTAACCTAAAGATATATGCAGAATGCATTTCCATTTAACTGAATAGAATATTTAATGGACTACTCATCTCTTTGAAGATCTATAAGCATAATAACAAAGAACTAAAACACTAACTCAAGTTTCACATAAACAAATGTTGCCAAAGAGCAATTTATTCCTAGGCCTGGGTTGTTATTCAAATCAAATCTCATTTTTCATTATTAACATGTTTCCAACTTTTTGAAGTGTAGAAAATATCTTGCGCCACCTAGAGAATATCTGTCAGAACCTTCTAGCACTCTCAAACTGTGGCCTTATATATACTTAGCTGGCCATACTTCTGAGTGGACAGCCACACAATTACCTAAGTTTTTACCTTCTGACTCTGAACACAAAGAATCTACTATGTGATTCTTTTTTGTACCTTAGCTCATTTTCTATCCTGAAGCCTTTTCGTCTTGCTAGATCCATCAGGAACTTTCTCCTGGTCATTCCCATTTTCCTCTCCACAATAAAAATGATGATGTCATTGAAGTGTATAGGGTAGCTGTTCAGAAGAGATGGAGGCTTCATCCTTTTCTGTCGTTTCCGCCTGGGAATTAGGTCTGCAGTTCTGATCTCATTCATGACACAAGTGTGCACTTTCTCTTCTTTGCTGAAACCTAAGTCTCACTCAGGAAAATATATGCTTTTAGTCAGTCTGTCTGCTTTTGATGTCACCATGCAGTGATGTCATCTTGGTCTTTTCTCCTTCCAAAGTCACAAACAGCTAATTGTGTCTAATGTGTATTCATGAGTCATTTTTCAGATCCCTGAGTCAAAAAACAGAACAGGCAACATGCTTCTCACTTCCAGTTCTGTTTGAGAAATAGCTAAGAACATAGTTAAGTAACTTCAGGACAAAACAAGACTGCAATTGATTAGCATCCCTCTTTTGTGCTTTTCCTACAGTTGCTGACTACTCCCAAATTCATGTTTTCAGAAAATGTAGGTTTGAAAGCAGGCATTTGCTGTGATGAAATTTAGTTCCACTTTGACACATTCTTCATTGCTCTTTGTGGAGTGTCCCTTGTCAATTTGCAACCCAAAAGCAGTCACACCTTACAAATGAGCAAATATCTACAGTCTTGTGATTCAGTACATTTAATAGTCTCATATCAGAACCAGAGTTATGTTAGTATACACACCAACGAGACTCCTAGAAAAATGATCAGGACCTCCATTTCCTATTATTCCGAACATGCTTTCTTTGACCCAGTATGACGTGCCTTTATTTGCAGAGGTCCATTTTACATAACCGCAGGAGCTTGCTTAAGTCATGGCATGTGCTGGTATGCGTCAAGCATCATTTGCCTATTTACCCACCCAAGTGCAGGCTGTCATTTCGAATGGCCTGTTGGAGGAGGAAATATCCCTCAAATTATCCATGGGATTTTATTGTTGGGTTAGCTGTTTCTCCCTCCAGCAAGCCATGCCACCCAGGTTTGGGTGACACAAGTCATGTCAAAGTAGTGAATGTTCATATGGTACTTGGCACATGCCATGATTCAAACAAGCTGTTGTAGCCATGGAATTCATGTGAAGCTGGTCATGATGCACTTTGTCTGTACCAGCCACATGTATCAGACGAAGAGGTGAAAAATATTTGTATCATAGTCCCAGCTGTATTCTCATGCTGAAAGGCCACACCAATATTACATCTGAATATTTAAAACAGCAGGGACAAAACTCTCCCTCTCCCCTTAACTCCGCTTCCACTTAAAACAGGCTTATAACCCACTGAAGAGTGACTGGAATAGAGAAACTGTTTCTGCAGAGCTACCCGTTACCTGAGTCACAGTACCATGTGCAATGTCTTACCCTTCATTACCCATGAGTAGTGACATAAAACCATACTGGCCACAGAACTGTTTGTGGTACAGTCTCTGTGTGTCTTGGGCTTCCCTTCAGACCTTTGTAAGTGCTTGAGAAGTGGAGTGTGTCTTGGGCAGTACAGAGGTGAGACAAGCTTATTTAGAAAGCGATACCAGGGCTGCCCGGTGACAAAACAGTTCACAGATGACTGCAGAAATTGCTGCCAAGTTTGACTGAATTGTTCCACAAAGACTAAGTCATCATGCTGTAAATTGTAGAGGCCTACCTAGAGACCTAGATATAGAATCATAAGAAACTGCCCTAATACTACATCAGTCAACTTTTCCACTGGTAGAATATGGTACATGCCAGGAAAATTGAAATTCTTTCAGCATTAGGGCCACCACATTCAGTCTTGGGGACCACAATGGGGACAAAATAGCTCAAAGGCCAGCAGGTTTTTGCTTAAAGTTTTTAAATCCTTTAGAATGGGAAGGGGGCAACCTGCAATACTTAGGAAACAACCAAATAACTGGTGTTCGGAGGAAAAGTGGTGTGGTCATCTGGCAAAACCTGGAGGGAACAGAAGTAGGCCAGACTTGGTCCGTGATCCTGATTGGCAGTTGTGTCTCCCCCGGGTCTTACACTTTCCCTGGGAGGGGTGCCAAGTGTTGAAAAGATCATGGAGGTTCAGGCTCATAGGACAAAAGAAAGCATATATTTTCACATGCTAACTGACATCTGCTCTAAATTCTCTGTTGGGCTGCCTTTGTAGAAGTCTATGCATAACTATCTGCAAGAACAGCAGCATATTTTGATCTACCTAAAACATACATGGGTAGGTAGTAATTGTATTAATTGTAATAAATTATCTCAACATTCATATAAAAAACTGAAAAGAAAAGTGTGTGTGGGTGGGTGTGTGTGTGTGTGTGTGTGTGTAAAGGGGTTTCTTCTAGGGACATTCCTATTGCAACTGGATGACCATCTGAGGGATGGTGTAACTTGGAGTCCTGTACTGAGCAAAGGGTTGGACCTGATGATCTTCTGGCTCCTTCTAACTCTACTATTCTATGATTTGAAAAAAAGGGATGTATGTCTTTTTTCAGGGGAGAGGAGGGCATTTGATTTTTTAAAAAATCTCAGGTAGAATACTTGCGGGGAAAGGAGCAGAAGCAAAGCACAGCTAAAAGACCAGCCAATCCAGGGGGATCAGTTGCAACAGAGACTATAATGGCCCCCTACTGTATGTCATTTCATTTGACGTATGAAAGAGTTGGCATTCCAAATGAAACCTTTGAGCTTCGGCCCCTACTGAGCCACCCGCAACACTGCCTTTGAGCTTTCCCATCATCTGCTACCTGCCTGTTTAAATGTAGGTACCAGAGGCTGAACCTGAGACTGCCTGCAAGCAATGCATCCCCTTGCCATTTATGGTCCTTCCCCAAAAGTACAGCCCTCTTCTTCCCCACTGACAGGTTTGGGATTTGAGCCCACATCAACTCACACCCAAGCTAAGAATCCATCCATTTAACCAGTAAGTCAGATTCAAAGCATTCATATTAAAGCAACAAATACAAACAAATAAGCAAAAACAGGGAGAGCAGGGCTGGAGTCAGCATGCTTACATATCATCTCTGGGCATAGCACCTGAACAAGACCATTTTCTTGGTAGTAATCCTTCGTACTGACATCTCTAGAAATTTGTGTCCAAGTGCATCAATTCATTAAATTCCATGTGAAATGTCCCCACTCACTTGCAAGCTGTTCAGGAAGCCACAGAAAGCAGGGGTGCCCTTATAAACTTTGGTGCACATGGACCTGAGGATGTTCAATCCATACATATCAACCTATTTATGCTTCCTTTCGCTCAATATGCAACATTCCATCTGCTAGAATTAACCATGAAGATGTGGTTCTGAGTATGATTTACATTTGTCTTATCTCTTCCAAGATGCATAGCAATGCTGCATTTTCTCATTTCTCAGAATACCTTCATTGTCATTTTGGTAGCCCTTCTGTTATTTGTTTCTCTTATGAGACTTACTGTTTGTTTGAGATCCAGGAGAGGGGATTATTTACTGCTGAGCATTCCATCTGTCACCAGCGCCAGTTCTACCAAAGTTTAGAAGCATCATGCCGCCAGTTCTTTTCTTTGAATATAATCTCAGTGGAACAGATTTGGAATAGAAGAACATGTGTTATGTATGAGTATTTTTGGAGTATTAATTTGAATAACACAAAGCCATTCACATACAAACAAATAAATATAACCAAGGTATAAGGACTGATAAATAAGATGTACTCTAAAGTTGCTTTCTGGATTTTCTTTTCTTTCTTTTTCTTTGGAGGGTGTGTGTGTTAATTTACTATATCACTTCAGGCATCTGTTCTGATTACCACCAGGGAATGATTCTGCATTCATTACAGCTTGAAACTTCTGTTCATAATCCAACTCTGTCTGGGTAAAGTGTTAATTAGTTGTAGTTGCTGTCACTGTTAAGTTGGCAGCCCCTGGCTGCCACAAAATATTACCATTGCATGAGACTCTCTGGATACGAATTCCACTAGGTACACACAAAGGATTTGCATGACTTATAGCTCTGATCAGAGGAACTGGACACGAATTGCTGCATCAGCAAACAGTCTCCTGGAAATGCACGCCATATGTATCTATTTCTGGAGACAATGTCTCCCAGCATTTCCTAGCATAAATTATGATCAAGTGTACACAGAGGCTTAATTCAGGCAATACACTATTAAAGGGACAGTGTGCTATCCTGGTACTTTAACGTGATTATTTTATTACATTTATATCTCGTCCTTTTCATATCTCACCTTTTTCACCTGGATACCTTATGTGACCCTCCTCTTCTCCATTTTATCCTCACAATAATCCTATGTGGGAGCTTAGGCTGAAAGTTAGTGCCTGGTCAAAAGCCACCCAGAGAGCTTGCAGGATGAGCGGGGACTAGAACCTGAGTCAGGAGACCTGGAGTCCGGGTCCAGCACTCTAAGCACCACACCGCACTATCTTCCAGAGGCGAGGCAAAAGCAGCAACAAGCAAATACTTAGAAGTGCTTCAGAAGTGTCTGCCTGAAGGATATTCTTTCAACTCAGTCTTGCATTCTTCGGTGACCTCAGCATATAAATTGGCTAGCAGTGCCCAGAATGCCTGTTATACAATCACTATTTGGGCATTCATATTAGGTATTTTAATGTTACAAATTAAGGGTATCTCTGAGAATTTCCAATTTCTTTTTGGCAGATGTCCCATGACTCTAACAACTACTTGGTATGTAACAATTTACCAGGTGACAGTTTTCCTAATCACTTTATCTGTATGCTGGATAAACATTGACCTGCTAAAGTCCTGTCTGTTCTGCTGCTCCTTGACACAAGTCCTTTGCCGGGAAGCAGGGAAATGCAACCCTGGTTTTCTTGTATCTTAAATATGTTGAGATTGTTGCAGCTGTTACATCAGAACGAAGAAATATCATGGCAAGCCTATTCCAGGGAGTCCCTTCTCCCATAGGAAGATCCCCAAAAATCAGCCAGCTCAACTGTGTCTCAAGTCAGTTTATTTTAGGACCAGCAGAGCCTTTTTGATTGCAGTCCCTGAATGCTGGACTGGTATTCCACAGGCTGTTAGCTTATTTCCCTCTTTTACAAAATGCAGAGGTGGAGCAGAGAGATTTTGTGGCAAATCTACCACTACCTTCTAAAACCTGCTAAGGGTGGGGGCAGAGGGTCACCATTCATTCATTCATTC